GTTTAACATGATACAGTGGGGACTTGCTGCCCAAAGCGCCCCAGTGCACTTCTTGACGTGCCCCTGCAGACACCACAGCTCCCAGGTGCTGAGGCACCTTTTTGCCCTTGCAAAAATCAATGAAAGCAACTAGTAAAAATGGTAACCAGCCGGGGGAATTGGGGAAGTTTTCTAACTTTTGACCTTGTAATGAAGCTAGCAATTTCTGCTTGAGTGATGCACTTTTACTCCATTTCTCGCAAAATGGATGAAATTTAACCTCTTTTCTTTTCTGGCTCTAGAGGACAGCTCTCGCTTTTTGTGCTGAAGAAAATAACTTCTGAATCTACCTCTGAGGTGACCTGAGTGCTGGCAGTGAGATTGCTGGAAAATCACCTGTCAGCACGGAACAAATGAAGTACTCCTGTAGTGACAAAAAAAAAAAAGATGATAATCACAGTGCCAAATTCTGCCCTTACTTATTCTTGATACAACAGTTATGTGCTAAGGAATTATGCATACTAGCAGTTCAAGCAAACTTTATTTACAGCTATATTTTACTGTGAATTAGAGACGAAATCTGAATGGTAAGCATGACCAGAAGGAATGAACAAGGAAGATTATTTTGGTGCAGTGTGTTATCAATGAGTTGGATGGATTTGAGAGGAACAAAGGTGTGGTAATGAAGGCTGCAAGAATAATACAAAAGTAGGTATGATTTGAGTTGATGTTGTAAGGGAACTGTGGCAAGAACTGAAGAGTGGAGGAGGAGTTACGAACAAAAGGTACTTGTGCGTGCGTGCGTGCGTGCGTGCGTGTGTGTGTGTGTGTGTGTGTGTATGTTCATAAAAAAGTGTGTGTATATATATATATATATTTGTGTGTATTTGTATGCATATACATATGCATGTATATTATCAAACAGCAAATTGATATTTTGTCATAATACAACTTACTATGCAATAATAAGCAGGCAATTAGTTTTTCCAGATAGGTGACTTCAGGTAAGATTAGGTCTTAAAACTAGCCCTTCATCATTTTGCCAGTCTGAACTTGGCAGTGAAAGACCTTGAGACAATTAAATGGTAAGTGGTCCCTCAACAGTATTCAAATCCAGAAATTCTTAAAAGCATCAACTTAGGAATACTTTTTTTCAGTTTCCAATAATTCATAATTACACCTTTTCATTTGCACTCTTAGAAAAGCCACATGCTATGCAACAAATATGCAAATAACATTTTAAGGCTACTTTGTAATATGAATTATATACTGTAATCGTTATTGATAGAATTTGTACTTTTCACTGTCCCATTTTTCACTCACCTTGGTATTAACAAGTATAACATACTTTCTAGATAAGTATACAGTCTTATAGATTTTTCTGGTGGGATCCTTGAAGAGATTGTTGAGAGGGTTAGTAAAACTTTCCATAGTTTGAGGTAACCTGTCTGAGATTTTTGCAACTTGCTTATAGTGATATCATCTTGATCTGTTTTTAGCACCACAACCTATTCCCTGTCATTTGCCAGCAACGTTATTCAAATGAGGTTCACCATCCCTCCTCAGAAGACTCCTCCCTGAGGGCTTCTTGAGGAATTGATGTTGGGCACAGTTTGAGCTGCTTGACATAGCTGTGACAAAAATCCCATTTGATACAGTCCAGTAAAAATTCGTACTTTCTCTCCCCCTTTGAAACTCATGCATTTCCCCCTACCCAGCAATCTTTTCCAACCCCTCTAGAAAAACATCCACTTAGCATCAGAGTTTCGAGAATTTTGGCCAAGTGCCAAGTTAAATCCTCCTGGCCATGTTCTCTAGTAAAGCAGGGACTCCATTGCATGGCTACCCAGTTGGATCCAGCCTGCAGGATGCAATACAGTCTATTTCCTGACATCTGCTCTCATGAAGGTCCATCTGACACATGCAGGTACTGACCTCAAAGAAATGTTCTCCTGCTGACCTCTTTGTTGAGGGCCTTGAAGCTCTTCTGACACTTTCCTAAATGTAAGTTAGTTAGGTGCCCAAAATGCACTCATCCGTAGTCCTGTGATAGGTACATACCTGTTCCTATTATGAGACTTTGCATTTGTGCTGGGTAATGGGATGACATGATAGAATATGTATAGATCTTATCGTGGAGAAGTGTTTCTTCCATGACCAAAATGTTGGGTGTGCATTCATGTCATGTGGCAGGGAGCCTTCATTTTCGTCTTCTCCGAGGTGCATTTCCCAACATGGGATAGGGGAAGTCAGGACCTATGAGTCCAGGGTACCGCTCCTGGACTCTGTCTGGCCAGTTTGCTTGAAAGTCTGAGCAGGATTGCAACGAAGCACTTAGGAAACAGCCTTTAAAAATAAGCAATTGTTTAATGCTGAGCTTAATGCCAGACGTGATAGTTACGATGAGCTGGTTTCTTTGTTAATAATGTTGTACCCCCATCTTCACATAATAGTTTTTTTTTCCCCCCTCCTTCTCATTTGCATTGAATTGTCCAAAACCTGGGCAAGAAGATGACCATTTCAACTGTAAAGCAACATGTCATAGGCTTTCAGTGCACAAAGTGACTAACATTATCATCAATTTTAGGTAAATCTGATTTGTCTTCATCTGGTTTTGAGAGGAAAAGGATGAGCTTAAATATCAGGGAAGAGGGCAGGGCTTGTGAAACATCGTAAGAAACTAAAATTTTTGCTGTGCTTGGTTACGGTTGCCAGCAAGACATCCACAGAGATATGAGAATGACAGACCGACTCCTGGGAATTGTTGAGTCAGGCACAATGTAAATCATCCACTGCATAATACAGGTAATAGGTGGGTGAAGAACCACTTAGAGGCTGAAACAATGCTTATGAATACTGAAAACTTCAGAAGAAAAGCAGAATCTGTTTCTGAATGTGTCCCTTGCTAAAATGCAGCACTCTGTATTTTTGCACAACAACTTTTTGATCAGGCATTTCAATCTGCTCCCCTGCAAGTCCCGTTTGAGCTGTATGTCCCCGGGGATTAAAACATCGTAGGTGTTTTTGGATTTCCCTAGGCTCAGGTTGCCACAACCCAGGGCAACCCAGGATGGCGTCGCCCACCTCGAGCCAAGAGGGCAGCTGCGAAGGCGAGTGGCGGGTTTCAGCAGCGGGTGCCAGCTAGCAAGGAGTTAAGCGCAGGATTAGGGAGTGTAACTGGACCCGTGCTCTGTTTAGCAACCCAGCGAGAAGGGGCAGAGCAAGGAGCGGGGCCCAGCCCTGCCGCTTTCCTCTTTGCCGGCTCCACAGGTTGCTGCTGCCGCCCTGAGTCACAGGAATGTAGGTGGGACTCCCTCCTCCCTCAGCCCAGATTAAAAAGCAGCTGAGACAGATACACGCAGTCCGTCTGTCTTCCCAGCGGAGCTTCCCCACCCCGCCGGGCAGGAAAAGCTTAGCCTCGCCGGTCCAGCTGCTGCGGGAGCCGCCCAGCAGCCGCGCAGGATGGTGGTGTGCAGCCTGGCCTGCTGGCGCTGCCGGCGGCTCCCGCCCCCGCCGGCGGGGC